CCTGACCTAGAAATCCTAGACTGGAATGGAATATATTCTTGCTCTTCCATTGACTCCATGGTTGACATTCTTACCACCAATCTTCTCAATATTCTCAATACCCATGCTCCCCTCAAAACCTCTACCTTTCGTCACCGGCCTGCTCCTTGGATGTGTCAGGAAATCAAAGATCTGCAGAAGAGGCGCGACGCTGCCCGAAGACGTTTTAGACGTACGAGGCTTGCAGATGACTACCAAGCGTTCAGGGTGCTTCGCAACTTGGCACAGACAAGGATCCGGCGTGCGAAAGCTTCCTACTTCCATGAAACCCTTTCCTCAGCTCCTGATATCAAATCGAAATGGCTACTGCTTCGTAAACTTTCCATTGGTAATCCTTCCAGATCCCCTACCGCAGCCTATCCTGTATCCTCCGATGATTTAAACTCTGATTTTATATCTGTCGCTAATACCTCTTCTCTACCTTCCTCTTCTGGCTTTGCTCCAGAGATATCCTTTAACGAGAATAACTTTTATTTTTCCGACATTTCTCCCACAGACCTGTTAACCGTGGTAATGAAATCCCACACCGATTCCATAGGGCCAGACGGCATTCCTGTCAAATTAATAAAAATATGTCTACCTGAAATCCTCCCAGCTCTCCTTTTTATCTACAATTTCTCCCTTCAGAATTCAGTATTCCCTACCTCTTGGAAAAAAGCCATTGTCCTTCCTTTAAATAAAAAGCCTAATCCATCCTCACCCGAAGATTTCCGTCCAATTTCAATTCTTTCTAACCTCTCAAAGCCTCTTGAAAGACTGGTGCAATCCCAAGTCTCCAAGTCCCTCGAAAAGTCCAACCAATTTGATCCTCTCCAATCTGGTTGCCGTCCCGGCTATTCCACACAATCTGCCTTAATTAAAATTACCAACGACATTCAATCTGCAATAGATGATAGAAAATTAACTGTCCTTATTCTTCTAGACTTCTCCAAAGCTTTCGATTCCATCAACCATTCCATCCTCTTCAACAAACTAAAATCATTATCTTTCTCCAATAGTTCCATCTCTTGGTTCCAATCTTTCCTCTCCCAACGCACCCAAGCAGTCTCCATACCCAACCAACCACTATCTGCTTTCCTTTCTTTATCCTCTGGAGTTGCCCAGGGTTCAAGCATATCTCCTCTCCTTTTCAGCTCCTACATTAACGACCTACCTAAATCAATTCTCCATTGTTCCCATCACCTTTATGCAGATGATTCCCAGATCTACCTATCCTTTTCTCCCTCTGAGTTACTGGGGACATTTGCCAAGATTCAAGAAGACCTTGATCGAATCAATGCCTGGGCAAATGTAAATGGATTAAAGTTAAATGCTGCCAAAACTCAGGCCATTGTCATTGGTTCCAAGCCCCTTATTAGATCCCATACTGACTTTCCCATATTACACCTTAATGACCAGCCAATTTCCTTCTACTCCTCTGTTAAAAATTTAGGATTTTTCATAGATCAAACCCTCTCCTGGACCTACCATATTTCTCACATTTCCCGTCGGACAATTTCTACCCTTAAACTATTTCATCGCTTCTGCCATCTCCTACCTCAACATATCCGTAGACTCCTAATTTCCTCTCTCATCTTCCCCCACTTTGACTACAGCTGTGTGGTGTATGATGGCCTCTCGGTGGAGCTCCGTGATAGACTGAAAAGATTAATGAATAGCTGCGTAAGATTTGTTATTGGTGCCCCGAGGTACTCCCATGTCTCTCACCACTACACTGAGTTAAGGTGGCTCTTCCCCTCCTTCCGAAGACAATATTTTCTAGGTACGTTCCTCTACCAAATCATCAACAACCATCGTCCTTCTTACGCCTACAACCTTCTCCAGTTCAAATCCTCAGTCCATTCCCTGTCCACAAGATCTCGACCTTCTGACCTTTACATGCCTTCTCACAGATCTGCCTCATTCCAAAATTCCTTTATTGTTCGCTCTGTCAATTTCTGGAATTCCCTCCCTATCAAAATTCGACATTCCCCCTCCATATCCACATTCAAATCCCTCCTATTCCAATTCCTATCACAAAAACAGTCAGATACTTGCTAACCATTCGAGCGGATTTTAATAGAGAATTTGATACATTTTTATTTTTTAATTCTTTATTTTTTTCGGAAAAGTGTATACTGGTCTATAAGAGCAAATAGCTTTAAGTGTCTTGTCATAGTATTAATGGTTTTGTATATAGTTTAGTTTGTTTTGTATATAGAATTTTTACCTTATATTTTTTTTACATTATTTCTTTTTTTCGATTGATTTTATTTTGGCCAGATGTAATATTTTAATTTTGTTCTATTTTGTTATTCTCAAGGGACTGTGTCCCAGAATAAAGTTATTTTTCTATCTAAATTATCTTGAATATGATAAAAAATATAATGTACAATAATGTACATTATTCTAAAGGGACTTCAGTCCCAGAATAAAATTATTTTTCATTTAATTTCAATATTAAGCCACTGTGTTTCAAATTGTTTACAATTTTCGAATTTATTCGGTATAAGGGTCTACTTATATACTATTAGAGACTTAGTTTTTGAAAATAATCTCAATTTTAAGACTACACCACTGTGTTTTACTTGTTTTTTGGATATTTTCCTTTAATTAAAAAAAAAAATAAGGAATAATTTTTTTTTTCAGTTGAAGTAAATAAAATATTTATTTTCTCATTTTTTAAGTTTAATTTTAGTTTTCTTATTTAATATTTCTGATCCTCTTACAAAATGATAAAATACGAATTTCGAACGATTAGCTGAAAAATCTGTAAATGGTAGGTTAAATTTATTACAATTTGCTTTTTCAGCTTTTTATTTAGGTGTTTTGTGGTTAATTTAACCTTAGCTTCATAATATTTATTTATTCATACTCAAAAATATATTGATGGAAATTTGTATTGAAAAAAAAACAACTTAATTAATCGAGATGCAGCTGCGTAATCTTGATATGGAGATTATTTTCAAAAACTACGTACATATAGATAGATACCAATAACATATAGTTAGACCTTTATATCGAATAAATCAAAAAAACTTAACTAAACTCTAAACAAAAACTTTTTAAAAAAACTTAAGCATCTGGATATATCCTTATATCGATTAAATCCCAAAACTCAAGTAAGTGATAACGCATTTGGTTAATATTAAAATGGAGGTCATTTTCAAAAACTACGTCTTTGATAACATTTAAGTAGACCCTAATAACGAATTAATCTGAACAACTTGAATAAGTCAAAACGCAGCCCATAATCTTAAAATGGGGTTCATTTTCAAAAACTGTGTTTCCGATAATATATAAGTAGACCCAAATATCGAATAAATCCGAAAAACTTTAATAAGTCAAAACGCAAAAGAAGGTCATTTTCAAAATCTATGGCTCTGGAATGATATGAATAGACCCTTATATCGAATGAATCCTGCGTTAGATGAGTCGTAACGCAGTCGGACTAGTAAAGGAAAATTCGCGACATCGGCTAAACCAATTTTTGTTTCAATTTAACTATTCCATAAAAACATTGAAAAATGTATATTGTGCCAACTGAAAATATTCTCGGAAACTCCACAAACAACACAAGGTATCAATAAAACAGTTTATCTATTTTTTTATGTTAAAAAAAAAAATAAAAAGATTTAAACAGATTCAAATAGATGTCGCGAGTTTTCCCTTAGTCGTCCCACTGTGTGGCGTAATCTTAAAATGGAAATCATTTTGAAAATCTACTGCTCCGAAAACATATGATTAGACGAATGAACGAAGAAATCCAAAAAACTTAAATAAACCGAAACATAATCTTTAAATGGAGATTATTTTCAAAAACTATGACAACTAACTTAATACTATATATTACGTTATAATACTTATATCGAATAAATCCAATTAGGTACAATAAATCAATATCCGTAAGTGTAACATTAAATCAATAGTATTTTGAAAAACTCTACTTAGTGAAGCATAATAATAGATCCTAGATTAGATTGGAAAATTAAAACAAAATGGACCTTATTTAGAAAAAAAACCATAAATTTACAAAAATTCAAAACTTTAATTTGAATTGGAAAAAGTTTGATTTGAAATAGAAAAGGTTAAATTTAACTTCGAAAAAATTAAATATGACATGCAAATATTATACCTAAAAAATCTAAAAAGTAAAAATAAATGGATATGCAATCGTGTTATCATATTTTTTTTTAATATTTCAAACGCTATGCCTTCGATAATATATTAGGTGCCCTTTTTTTAGAAAAAAAATCGAAAGTTTAATTTGAAATGTAATGGAAAAGGTTGAATTTGATTTGGAAATGCTGTGTGTGCGTGTAGGGGTGGGTGCGTGTGTGTGAAAAGAAATATGTATTTTATTTATTTTTTTTTGTCTAATACTTTGCCACAAAATGGCAATCGAAATTCCTTTGATCAAATCTGATTTCATCAAACAAAAAATAGGATAATTGATGTCTATGAACCTAAAAAACGACATATTTGCATAGGTTTTTCACAAATTTAATTAAAGATATTTTCCAAGGTATCATACGACTCTTGCAACTACTTTCAGCTTCAATTTTGCCATTAAATGAAGAATTTTTTTTGTAAATATTCATACTTTTTAAATTATTCATTGTTTTTGGGTACTAAGTATAAATAAAATTATTTTTCAGTACAATTCACTTTTAAATTAAAATAATAATAATATAACGGCCGGTTGTTTAGTTATTTTTTTCAAGATAAATTTTTTCTTATGTTCCAGGGTAGGGCTTAAAACTTCTTTGATTTTTTCGTTTAAAGTTTAGTTTAGTTAATTTTTAAATTTTAAAATAAAATTTAACTAATTGCGCCACAGTGTACTAATTTGTATAGATATTTGATGAGCAGTTAATAATAATCACACAAACAAAATATGCAATTGCTTAACAATCTGGGCTCTGCTTATAATTGTGATCTTTGTTGATTTGATTTATATTTATTTGTTTATTTTTTTTTAGGTATGCTGCAATCTTTGGAGTCAGTATACAGGAAAAACTATGTAGTAAAGCTTTCACATTAATGAGCCATCATTTAGATGAAGATATTAGAATCATGGCAAGAAAAATTGTTGAAGCTTTGAAGCCGTAACTTTACATGATCTGATCAGGAAAATAATCATTGAAGCTTTTAAGCCATGTTTTTGTATTAAGTAGTATGTGTAAGAACATAATCGTTTATTATGAATGTGAATAATTAAAAGTTTGGTTACCATGCCTAAGAGAACATTTTTTCTTGACCGCAATGTCTAATTGTATTTATGTAGGAAATTTGTAGTAATTATGCATTTATTACTCTAAATTTTTGTTACATTTCACTACAATTGATGAATTTGATACAAATTAAATTTGTTGTTGAGCAACAAAACTAATTCAAAGCTTTTCTGCTTTAAAGGAAATATTTCTTTCTTATATTATCTATTTGGATTAATATAATTATTTTTGTGTTTCCAGAGTGATCCCAGGGATCATTGGTATGAAGGTGTCATTGACTAATCTAGTCAACCTTATGTTCAGCAGGGTTTTATGGGGCAAAATTAATTGCTCCTTAGAGAATTTGAGTTCCTTATGCCATTTTCTTTTATTGTTAATTGTTGTTATTTCAATAACATGTGAATGAAATCTCATTACAGGTGCTGATATACTAATTTAATGAAGTATTTATTTCTTTATTTTGTAAAATCGCACATTTTACATTTAAAATTTTTTATTTGATTATTTATCACTTAATGCAAAGACAACTAATTATATCGAATTAGCTGCTCAATCATGTCTATAATACTTGATATTTTAATCTGGTCAATCATTATGAACTAATGATATGGAACAGGCAATACTATGACTTACATAATGTAAAAATAACTTTTGCTTTTTCCATTCATGAGACCAATATGTTAAAATTATCAAATCATTATATACAAATGATTACCTCTTCTATTTATCCTTCAAGTAAGACATTAGTAACATTGCAAGATATGTGGTTTTGAACTTCCCTGGATATTGTTCATCAACCCAGCATTCATTTTAAGGGCCAAGAATATTATCTGAGATTTGGAGTGTTGAAGGTTTTATAATATTGTCAATATCATTCTCTTTCTGTGTTTTAAAATTAGAAGAAAGTAATTAAAATTAAAGAATACTATCAAAATGCTTTTGTTGAAGGTTATGTTTTGGTAAAGTTTAGCATTTAGGATAAAACCTACTCATCAACATCTATATGGGAATCCTACCCTATGTTATTTGGTGGGTAATCTAGACCCAAATTAGGTTCTTCTTAAGATATCTCAGATATCAAACTGGACTAATGAAAATTGTATTAGGTTTATGAACCTAATCAATTTTAATGTCATTTGTCATTATTTTTCCCATTGTGTCATACTAATTATTTTTAGTAATCAGCTTTTAAAGGTCTTTTTTTTGTGAAAATTTAGTGCAGCTGTATATTTGCTTATCTCAAACATAATATTCATCATCCTATGAATGTTACTAGAAAATGAATTATTCGCTTTTCTTATAATTTGATTTTTTTTTTTTTCTTTTTTTTTTTTTTTTCTTTGTATATTACTATTAAGATCTGATTGACATTCCTGTTTTCACTTAGATAAAATGATTTTAATAGCTTTAGAGTTGTGTTTATTTTTATTTGAAAATATAGATATATACAAAATAAAAATGATGGGAATACTTCTTAAGATATTAATAAACACTCAATTATATGTGTATATAAATGTATGTATATTTATTGTATTTATGTCATATGTGTAAATGTGTATACACAAATATTTAATGTTTAGAATTACAATCATTACTAATTGCTGCTTGATAAAATCAGATTTTATTTTGCACTTCAAACATCTCCATATTTCCTTATTAGGTTTTTTAGTTTTCCCTTCTGAGATAGTTATTTTGTTTTTTGGTTGAATTAATTAATATTCATTTGTTGGTGATAGTTTCAGTGATTTTAGTTCTGTTAAAGTTTTTATTATTATTAATATGTAGGATGTATATGAAAGTCATTTGCTTCTATACCTCTGAAGAGTGGATATCTATATCTGTCATTTCCATCAAAGTGTGATATGAAGGCTATTATGACACAAAATATCTTGCTGTTTCTCTCATAAGATATGTTGTTGACTGTATTGTTTATTATATCTATGAAATAGTTAAAATACTTTGTTGGTTATTTATTATGTGGATGCTTTATTGCTTATAACTACCCTATCCAGTGCTGGCCTTGGGGCTGGACAACACAGAACCACGCCTTTTGTACTCACCACTAATTATTTAAAAAAAGAAATTACGGAACATATGAGATAAATTAAGTTTAGCCTGTTAATAACGGACTTAGAGACATATTGAATGAAATACAATTTAAGTATACAAAAATATACAACAGTTTAAGAAATATAATTGAATTGTAAATTAACCAGAGTCAGTAAAACAAATAGCATTACTATTCTTTCATTTATGGCATGAAGAGATCCTTAGAAAAGATTTGAAATTAATTTTTTTTTTTTTATCTTTGCTAGTCAAATGTTTTATTGAAGCTAGAAGATCAATCTACTGATTTGAATTATTTTTAAAGTAATTGGGTATTTTTATGGGAGATTAAAAATATAAAAAAACTAAAAGTTTGTTACAGCAATTCATGGATTTGCAACTCTTTTTTTTTTTAATTTATTACATTGTTTTTTTTTAAAACAAATCTTCATGGAGTGACATCTATGGTTTACAATAATGTTAATAAATACTATCTTTGTACCAAATGGTAATTATAAAAAATCTATATTTTTAAGATATTGAAATTTTAAAAAGTTAATTTAAGTCTATCCTAGTTTATGGATAGCAAAAAAATATTGGAAACACCAGTGTCAGTTTGCTATCAAGCCCTATTTCAAGATAAAGTTAACGAAGAGTTACATTCAGTCAACTATATCACTAGAAAAATTGGATGCCCAAGCCACATTGTATATTCATAACCTCATGCTAATTCTTTAAATCTTTCAAAAATCATAAAAGATTTTGCTAATATTTAATCTAAAAAAAAAATGTGCAACTGAACTTAGCCACTTTTTCATTTTATGTCTATGAAACTCATAAGTTACCTTTTATTTTTGGGAGGTGAAGGTACCAGAGGTTTCTAAGGTTGGCACTGACAATTTCTATGCTAATAGTAATATTTTGGCTTTTATTTTTTGACCTCTTTGATATTACAAGCTTGATGAGTTAAAGCATTTGACAGTTGTAAGGTTGGTGGATTGTTGAGACACTATTGTTGTTGGTACAATTTATATTTAAAAAACAAATTTCATTATTCAAAATCAACTGAATTGTTGTTTCCAGTACATTGGTCTCTCCTTCCTTGATTTTGTAAGTCCTCCACCTGTTCCAAGCCCATGAAACTGTTGAAGTGTTTTAACTCACCCGCTTGATTACAATATTTTTTTTATCATTTCAATTTGGAGACTGTTTTTTAGTTAATATTAACTAGTTGATGTTTGTTATAATTACAACCAGAATTTTACCAGTTATAATAACATGAAAAAACTTGAATTTAGAACATTTTTACTATCTCAATATATTTGAAGCTTTTTTTTTTTTCTTTTTTTTCATTAGAACCATGTCAACAAAATATTAGTGTCAGTATTGTACTTTTTGATTAGGCTACTTTTTTTCTTTGAATTATATTATTTAAAAAAATCTTGAGAAACAGTTTATCATTTAAATATATTAGTATTTCGGTTTGTTTAATTTTGGATGTTATTACTTAGAACTATGAATTTCTGTGATCTTCATATTTACTTTGTATGTCTTTGAATTTTTAATTGTTAATTATTACTATGATGAAAAGAATATTTAGATGACTAAGTAGTAATATTAAACAATATTTTTATGTCATTGTTATTTAGTTTTAGTAATCATATTGCCTTTTTAAGAATAAAAAGAGGAAAACCTTTTTGTTGTCTGATGGACTTATTTATTTTGTAATTTGAGAAACTATTTTATTATTAAAGTTACATAGATATATTAAAGGTTTTTATTTTAAAAGAACGGCCTTGTTAATTATATTCAAAGGATGCTAATGGTTATTATGTTTTAATTTTTTCAAGAGAAAATTGTCACATTGTGATATGCATATATTTTTAATAAATAAGAGAGAAGAAATATGCATTCAAATTGTATGGTCTCAATGTGATTTGACCTTATGTTTTAGGGAATATATATAATTTTCAATTGTTACATTTTTTTTTTATAAAAAAATGTTTATTGACATGTACAGTAACATTAGGTAGTCTTAATGTTGTGAGATAAAGTGTTATGGATTTGACAACTTGAATACGTTTAGATACTATTGAATTTTAATGCATACTATAATTAAAAAGCCGCTATCTAGTCAATGTTAATTGAAAAAATTAACCAAAGATGTTGTTGCTTACAATAACGAAACATATTGGAAAGTGATTTTTAGCATTTCTATCGCTTGTATAAAATATGGTCATTGTTCCAAATGTTTCTCAAATATTGACTTGAGTAATTTTGATAATTTAATTTTTTGATAAAACACCAATGTTATTTCCTCTTCCCCCCCCCAATATTATAGATAATCTTATTTACCATTAAATTAAAACACTATGGCCCGAAACACTAATACAATTCTAAATGGACTAAGTGTAATCAAAGCCATAACAATTATTTTAAATATATGCACTTTTATTTAGTGGTTTAATCTCTCTCTAGCATTGTCTCATGTTTTGGATACCAGGTTTTTGTGAGCATGTCTACTTGGACCAGGTTTGAGTTTAAGGCCCTAGAATAGTGAAATTACGGCACTTGTCTATTGTGTCAGTATTAAAGTTTTTATTTTGTTTATATTGTTTAAAAGACTTTTTTTATTATTGTTGATATGACTAGTCATATTTTTATAACCATTTTTTTTATTTTATATATTTTTTTTAGAATTTATCTATTGAATTAAAGCTTACCGATTCCTATCTTAAGATGTCAAATCTCTGATACAATCCCTTCTCACATTATATTCTTTAAAAAATTCTTTCTAATTGTGATCTATCAGAATAGTGTATAAGCTAACAAAGTTTTATTAAGTTTAGAAGATTGTTTTTAAAAGAAATATTTGTTTGATTGTTCATTAAAATTCCATGAAGTTATGTAAATCTCTCATCGCTCAAATTTTTATAATTTATCTTGTATCATAAACATGTATATATTAATTTGCCTCGAATAATGAAATAGGTA